TAAATCATTCAGTAGTTTTTTAGGAGTATTTTTAGTTAAATTAAAACCGGTAGTTGTGTTGCCATTAAAAAATATATAAAAAATATTATATTAAATGAAAACCATTGGTATTTTAGGTAAAAAGGTGGGTATGACCCAAGTTCCTTTAAATTTGAAAGGCTTTGTTCCGGTTACTGCAGTATGAGTTGGTGGTAACACTGTTTCCCAAACCAAGAGTATGCAAAAAGAAGGATATGATGCGTGTCAGTTGGCTTTTGGAGATTGTTCAACCAAAAAACTAACTAAACCTTTAAAAGGTCATTTAAAAGATATTTCGCCCAAGAGATATTTACGAGAAATAAGGGATATGACTGGTTTTGAACTAGGCTCTTCAATTGATTTAACCCTTTTTCAAGAAGGCGAAGAAGTTAAAGTTACTGGAAATTCTAAAGGTAAAGGTACTGCGGGGGTAATTAAGAGATACGGTTTCAAAATTGGGAATATGTCGCATGGTGGTGGTTATCCCCATCGATTAATTGGTTCTATGGGTGGCGGACGAGGCACTAACCAAGGTATTCCGAAGGGTAAAAAGATGCCAGGTCGGATGGGTAATGAAAAAAATACCCAAAAATCTGTAATAGAAAAAATCGATAAAGAAAACCAAATCATTTTCCTCCGTGGTGCTATTCCTGGTCCAAAAAAAGGATTAATAGTGTTAAGAAAAACCTGTTAAGAAATGAAATTTCATTTTCATAAGTCCTAAATGAACTTATTTAGGGAAAAATAAAGATTAATAGCGTTATAAGTAAAATAAAAATAAAAATATGGCAGTTCCATTTCGCAGAAAATCATCTACTAGAATTAAAAAGGGGCGAGGACCGAAGAGTTGATCCTTTCAAAAAAGGAGTTTTTCGGCTCAGCCGCTGGTCAAGTGTTTTAGTTGTCAAAAAACAAAAATTCTTCATCAGATTTGTTCTTATTGCTGCACTTATAAGGGATTGAATTTTAAGAAGCCTATTGTTGATCGACAAGCGAACAAAGAAGAGTAGAGAGAACCGGGTTTAATTAATGAAGTATATCCAGTAAAATTATTTTTTTAGGTCATAAATTATTAATGGTTGGGGTAAAATGTGATTTAGAAACTTTGGAGAAAAGGGGGGTTTCAAGACAAGATAGGGTTATAGGAATGGCAAAGGTTTTTTATCAAACTGAGGAAAAATTCAATTACACTTACGATTTAGTTGTCGATAATACTGTAGAGTCTCCTTCTGCTAACGCTAAAAATATTAAAACTAATAAATGGTAAATAAAGTTATCTTATTAAACGGCCCTTCTTCGGCGGGAAAATCCTCCTTGGTTAAAGCCATTCAGTATTTAAGCGAAGAGCCATGACTGACTACTGGTGTTGATGTTGGCTTTGCAACTATGCCGGCTAAGTATTTACCAGGTGGAAAAAAAGCTCATGAAGGAATTAACTTTGTTCCGGGGACTGATGAAAAAGGATTTCCAATTATGAAAATAGAAGTTGGTGATTATGGCAAAAAAGTTGGTCAATTAATAAGGAAAGTTGTCAAACAGTTAGCCGACGATGGTTGCAACCTTATTCTTGATGAAGTAATTTGGGATAAAAAAGATTTAGAAAATTATGCTTCACTTTTGCAAAATCACCAAGTTTATTATGTGAAAGTAAATTGTGAATTATCAATAATGGAAGAAAGGGAAATACTTCGCGGAGACCGAGCCTGAGGCTTAGCCCGAGACCAATTTACTAAAATGGAAAAATTAAGCAAAATGTGGAAATATGATTTAGAAATTGATACTACTAATACCAATTCTTTTGCCAACGCTAGAAAAATTTTGCGAGAGTTAGAGTAAAAGTATTATCGAACTTCTTATTATGCTTTAGTTATCTTAATTGAAATTAAGGAAATTAATAGTTGGGTTGTTATTTGCAGTGCCAAAAATTTAAACCCCCTAACGGCAAAGATAAAGGCGGCGGTTAAAAAATATTTTATGGAAGCAATTCAGCAAAAAAAAAAAAAAAAAAATTGAATAAAATAAACTTTCGGGCTCTATTCAAAAAATTTCAGGCAAAAGTAATCCGCAACTACTTAATTACCATATCAGCAATGTTAGTTTGATGGCCTATTTTGCTCACCATTAACAACATTACAAGAGGAAACGTTGTTATACATGCAGAAAACTCTAATTATGCGGCTTTGCTTCCCGAGTTTCTCCAAAAATTTATTACTAAATTGAGCAGTAAAGAATATTTTCTCTTGGCATTGTCCTGATTAACACTTAATTTTTTATTGGAATATTTTCTAGGATTGTGAGAAGAAGAATTAAAAACCAAAGGTTCTAATTATGTGGAAAGCAAGTTGTTAAATAAATTTCACCGCTTAACTTTTGAAGAAAAGGCCAGCCGTGGTAAAGAATTAAGTGTGTTAGTTGAAGTAGATGCCCAGACTATAGGTAATAATTGAGAATTGGGACGGGATACTTTTATGTCTATTACTTTGGTTATCCTTTATTTTGTCAGTATTTACGTGGGATGAAAAAGTTTTGTTTTTCTTGGTTGAATGGTTTTGATTGCGATAATTAGTTATTTGTTCTCCCGAGCCATTGCTAATAATGAAAAGAAATATAAAGAAAAACGGACAGAATATTCTTTACTGATTAATAAAGAAATTGAAAAAGGTAATTTAATTGAGGGAATGGGGCTAAATTCTCATTATGAAAAGCAGGAAAACTATTTGCGGAAGAAAAATGAGAAACTAAAACTTTCCTCTAATAAGTTTCTTTCGCTGGGGAATAATTTGCCTTTTCGTTTAATGATTGCTTTTCCTTTGTTGATAGTAAGCATACTGACGGGATTAAATTTAGTTTTATTTTGGTCTATCGGTTGGTGATTTAGTAAAATTGTTGCTAATTATTTAACTTATGGGATTTATAGTGCTTCGGTTCAGAGAATTAATAACTTTTTACAACTGCCCGAAAAAAATGACAATTTAGACAAATTAAAATTGACTAACGAAATTAAATCTGTTACTTTTAAAAATGTAAGTTTCAAGTATAAATCTAGCCTAAATTGAGTTCTTCAAAACTATAATGAAACTTTTGAAGCTAGAAAAATAAATCGATTAAGTGGCAAAAATGGACGAGGTAAAAGCACTATTATTTATCTTATTTTGGGCTTGGTTGAACCTAACGACGGCGAAGTGATAATTACCGACATTCAGGGCAAAACTTATAATTTACATAAAGATATTAATTTAAAATATTGACGAGAAATTAATATTGCCTATTGTTCTCATGATAATTTAATCGAAGGTGCTTCGACAGGGCAAAAGCAATTAGCGAATATTAACAATACTTTGAAAAATAAAAAAAATGCTGCAATTTTCCTTTTTGATGAGGCGGATAATGCTTTGGATAGCGAGAAGCAAAGTCAATTTTACCAAAAGTTAGAGAAGTTATCAAAAGAAAAACTAGTAATTTACGTTAAACACGAGATAAATAATGGATAAATTAGCGGAACTAGATTATACAAAGAAAATAAAATTGAAAGTCAATGATTTAAATTTTTCCTATGGCGAGAGAATAATTTTTTGTGATTTACAACTCCAAGCTTTTTCCGGAGACAAAATAATTATAGTAGGAGAAAATGGTGTCGGAAAATCAACTTTGTTTAAAATTATAAGAGGTTTTATTAACTCTTTTGACGGTTGAGTAAAAAGCGAAGGAAATATTGGCTATCTCCCACAATCATTTGAAAATTTTTCCCGATGTAGTGCTTGGGAATATTTAATCAATGAAACTGGTAATTCTGATTTAATTAACTTATGAAAAACCAAAGAAAAAACCGACAAAAGAGAATGAGAAAAACAGTTTAATTTCTTAGGTGGATTTAGATTAATGAGAATAATATCACAATTGCAACTTGCTCCATCCATTTTAGAGAGAAAATTTTCCACCCTCAGTGGTGGAGAAAAAACAAAATTCCATTTAGCGGCTTTACGCTTTCAAAATCCAGATATTCTTTTGTTGGATGAACCTACTAATCACCTGGACGAAATAGGATTAAACTGATTAGAAAAGTTTTTGAAAGGTCATCAAGGAATTTTGCTGATGATAACTCATGACCGTTATTTAATTAATCAAACTGCTAATTATATTTCTGAACTTTCTCCCGAAACCTACAATTTAATTCACTTTCGTGGCAATTACCGAAATTATTTACAAGAAAAAGAAAGGCAATATCAACGCCTAAAACAAATCCGAGAGCAGCAGGAAAAAGAAATAAAGTTTATTAACAGGAAACTAATTAATTTGCATATTAAAAAATCTGCTTATGTGGTAGACAAAGTTAAAAGGCGAGAGAACAAAATGGGATTTGATGCCCGCGGCGGAAGAAACCAAAAAAGCTACAAACGCATTGTCAACCAACTAAAAACTAAAAAAACTAATTTAGCAGAGAATTTAGCGGAAGTGCCGCTAATGTCTCGCCGGAAACTAGAAATTGATTTTTTACCCGATATCAATTTTGACCCAAAAATAATTTTAATTTAACTACAGAATATTAGTAAATCATATGGAGATAAAATTCTCTTTAAAAATTTCTCCTTGGAACTTAAACCAGGCGTCAAATTAGTTATTAGAGGGTCTAATGGAAGTGGCAAAAGCACTTTACTAAAAATCGTTATGGGAATAATTTCGGCAGATGAAGGGAAAGTGGTTATTTCCGAACAAATTAAATTGGGTTATTTAGACCAAGAACAAGAAGCCATAAATTTAAATCAAACAATTATCGAATTATTAGAAAACGACCCGCTTATTAAATTAGAAAAGGAGGAAATTATTCAAAAATTAGAAGAGTTTGGTACTTTTTATCCCCAAGAGTTAAGGTTGCCTTTATCTCAGTTAAGTATAGGCTGCCGTCGCAAAGCTCAATTAATTCAAATCATTCTTCAAGGGGCAAATGCTTTGATTTTAGACGAACCTACTAACCATATTGATTTATTAAGTTTAGAAAAAATTGAAAATCAATTAATAAATTTTCCGGGTCCAATTTTGGTGGCTTCCCACGACCGCTATTTTATTGAAAAAGTTTGTAACCAAGTAGTAAATATTGAAAAATTTAATAAGTTTTAATGGTAGAAATTTCTAGACTACATATTCCTGTAATGTTAAGTGAGGCTCTTGATCACCTCGGTACAAAAAAAAACGGGATTTATGTTGATTGTACGTTTGGTAATGGCGGTCATTCGCGGGCTATCTTAGAAAGGATAGAAAAAGGAAAATTAGTTGCTTTTGAATGAGACAAAAAAACTGTTCAAATGATCCAAAATGATAAATTATTTTCTTCCCCGCGTTTTTATTTAATTCACGATAATTTTGTTAATTTAGAAGAACACTTAAAAAAACTTTGTTTAAAAGAAGTGGATGGATTTTTGTTTGATCTAGGACTTTCTTCTTACCAGTTAGCCAAAGAAGATAGGGGTTTTAGTTATCGATTAGATTCACCACTTGATATGAGAATAAATCAAGAAAATGAATTAAAAGCCGAAGAGGTTATAAATAATTATTCTCCGGAAAAATTAGCTGACATTTTTTATTATTATGGTGAAGAAAGAAAGGCTCGCCTTGTTGCCAAAAAAATTTGCTACTGACGTGAAAAGCAACGAATTGCCAGCACTCAACAATTAGTGGGAATAGTTGCTTCGTGTTTTCCACACAAGAAAAATAAGCATCCAGCTCGAAAGGTTTTTCAGGCCCTTCGTATTTTTATTAATGAAGAATTAGAAAATCTTTCTCAAGCCTTAGAAAGTGCTTTTAAGTGTCTCGCAGTAGAGGGAAAAATTATTGTTATTAGTTATCATTCTCTAGAAGATCGAATTGTTAAGCAAATATTCAAAAAATATAATTCGCTTGGAAAATTCCAAATAATTACCAAAAAACCTTTAACTCCCGAGCAAAAAGAAATAAATGAAAACCACAAAGCCCGCAGTGCTAAGATGAGGGTAATTCAAAAATTAAGAGATTAATTTTTTATTCTTCTCTTTTAAAAAATTTTTTATCATTTTTATCAATTGTTTTCGCTTTACTAATTTCTTTTTTTAAATCTTCGCTAAATTTAACTTTGGGAACTCATTTAGCGGGAATAGTCATTTTTTTCTTAGTTTGGAGATTCATCGCCACTCTTGGTTTTTGGAGAGCAGTTTTCAGGGTTAAATATCCCGGGAATCTTAATTCTTCTCTTCTGATTAAGGCTTGTTTAACTTGTTCTAAAAATTCATTAATAATTGCTTCGGCTTGGGCTTTAGTTAGAATAACTTTTTTTCTTTTTAAAGTTTCTGTAATTCTTTCGCCTAGTAATTTTTTTCCTACAATTGTTGATTTTGTTGTTTTAGTTGCCATATCTTAATTTAAGTATATATTTATTTTAGATATTAGTTACGGTTACGGAATCCGGATTGTAGATAAGATCTTAAGATTTCTTCTATTTTTTGTCTAATTTTTCTTAGATTGATTGCTGAAATCTCCGGAAGTTTCCCGGTTTTTATCAATAATTTTAACAAAACCCAACTGTGAATATTATAAGGAAAATGGAAATATCAATTCAACTAAAAATGTCTTGTATCAAGTCCAAATAATGGAGTTGGAAAGCAACTTCATCAGCTGGTGGAAATCTGATAATTCTTTTCAGAAATTTTACTTCTATAAGTGGAGATAATTCACCCGAACTTGTTAGTTTTATGTGTTAACTATTATAAAATAGATATTATTATGTCAATAGTATCGCAAATCGTTCTTAGTATAGTAGCATTGTTCACAGGATTTTTTATAGGTATTGTTTTTATTATATGATTGTTTGGTAGAAAGGCACAAAATCTTCAAGACCAGTTTGATTTAACAGATAAAAAGCAAGTTGAGGATATGATGGGAGTTTTTGGCCATAAGCCTTCTCAGGAACAAGTAAATAGGTTTATTACTTCGATTAAAAAGAAAAAAAAAGAGCGATCAAAAAGGACAACGATGAAGGAAGAGTAATAATTTATGCGGAGCAATTTATTTTTAACTTGTGGTGGTTGTGCTAAAAGACATCAGAACTACCGAACTTCCAAAGCCAAGAAACCCCAAGGAGAAAAATTAAGTTTAAAAAAATATTGTAAATTTTGTCAGAAAACGGTAGTACACAAAGAAGAGATTATTAAATAAAAATGACCAGAGCAAGTAATACCCCCGTAACCCGGAATCGCCGGAAAAAAATGTTAAAGCAAGCTAAGGGCTATTTCGGATCCAAACGCAAATTATTTAAAACAGCTAAGGAACAAGTGATGAACGCTAAAGTTGATGCTTTTGCGGGTCGCAAACAAAGAAAAAGGGATTTCCGCCGCTTATGAATAACCCGTTTAAATAGCGCTTGTCAATCTCACGGTTTAAATTATTCACGATTTATTCGTTTGTTAACTTTAGCTCAAATTAAATTAAATCGCAAGCAATTATCAGAAATGGCTATCCATCAGCCACAACACTTTCAGACTTTAATCAATAAAGTTCAAAATCCGTGATAATTTCCTAAAGTTAAGTTAGATCTAAAAGTTTCTTAAAATAGAATACAATATGGACAAAAAACAAAGCCGAACTTTTTATTTTCTGTTTATTTCTCATGTCTATTGCTTGATTTCGGGTTGATTTAATGGAGGAGATAAAGTTAATTTTCCTAGTCAATACTTTTGGCACTTTTTAGCGTGGTGGTGTACTTGAAATAGTATTATAACCTTAGTTTTTATTCTTTGAAAATTAAGCCAACCCAAAACTAATAATTACTTTGCTCAAGTTTTTTCGTTGATAACTATGATTAGTAATTTAATTACTATGTTAATTTATGGTCTTGGCTTGATTATTTGATTGGCTACTTCCTTGACTACTTATTGAGGAATTACTAGCCAAACTACTAAACTAGTTCCCATTCCAAGCCATAAAATCGAGGGAATGCAAGTTGGCAAAGTAATTCAATGATGACTTTACTCCCCCCTTTGACACTTTATTGCTCCGGCCTATTTTATGATTTGATTTTTCTGTCATGAGCGAATAGAGTTGTTAAAAAGGAAACTAAAATTGACGATTTTGTTTTGTTTAATTCAGCCCGCTCTTTATTTCACTTATGGCTGATTTCGAAGTAAACTTGGTGACAAGGAATATTTTAAAAAATTTAAGGCTCGGTGGGTTATGGGTTTCCTTAGTTCCAAAAAAACATTGAGCAAACTAGGAATTGGTCGTGATTATCGTTTTATTTGGAAAATTATTTTAGCCTTGTTTTGATTTAGTTTGTTTGGGTTAATAGTTTACTTCGTTTTACGATACCGGAGAAAAATAAAAAATTACCTAATTGGTAAAAAAGAACATTTGGCGAGGAAAAAGTCCTTAATGGTTAAAAATAACCAGAAGGTCCTCGGATAAAATTTTCTCTGCTAATGAAAAATAAATGTCTAGTTATTCGTTATGGAGAATTGTTTTTAAAGGGAAAAAATCGAAATTATTTTATTCAAAAGTTAGTTGATAATATTAGTTTGACTTTCCGGCAAAATAATTTCCATGATTTCCAAATTGAAAAATTGTCTGATCAATTAATAATTACTAACCAAAATGATAGTGAGGAGGAGCTTGCACATTTGTTATTCTTGTTAAAAAATATATTCGGAATTGGTGTTTTTTTTCTCGCTTCTCATTTAGAGGCTAATTTGGGAAAGTTATATCAATTTGTAGAGAATTATTTTGATTACCATGCGAATGATTTTAGTACTTTTAAGTTTGATATTAGCCGGGGTGATAAAAGCTTTCCCAAAAACTCGTTGACTTTACAAAAAGAATTAGGAACAATTGTGACAGAGAAATGTGGCCGAAAAGTCAATTTAACTAATCCCCAAAAAACTTTTTACCTCCGTATTTACCGCAATTTTATTCTTTTTTTTACTGAGAAATTAAGTGGTTTAGGGGGAATGCCGGTTGGTAGTTCAGGCAAGGCTTTGCTGCTGTTGAGTGGAGGTATAGATTCGCCGGTCGCGGCTTACCAATTAATGAAAAGAGGCTTAGAAATTACGTATTTACATTTTTATCAGCAACTAGAAGGCCAAAACAAAATTACCGTGCTTGTAACAAAATTAAGTGTTTATAATAATTATCGTAGTAAAATTTATTTGGTTGATTCTTGACCTATTTTAACTGAAGTTAGACATATTAGTCAAGAAAAATATCGCTTGATTATTTTAAAGAGAATGTTTATTCGCTTGGGTTGTTGATTAGCCGAAAAATTAAAAATCATAGCGATTGCTACTGGTGATTCGTTAGCACAAGTAGCTTCCCAAACTCTCGAAAGTTTGGGAGTTATTCGACAGGCTTCTATAACTGCTTTTGGGCAAGTAAAAGTCTTAACTCAAAAAGTAATTGAATTACGCCATGATTTAGAAATGGATGAAAAAGGAATAATTAATAAAATTCTTTTCTGATTTTATTGTTACGTTGCTCTAACCTTGATTTGAATAGTCTGATTTGGATTAGCGCGTAATTCTCATGAGTGATTAAGTTTTTATATTGCGGTGACTTATCCGATTATTTGATTTATTGTTACCTTCGCAATTGTTTTTTATTTCGGTTCAAGATTCCAAAAATGTCTTAAAGTAAAAGGAAAAATAAGAAACAGATGTCGGGAACTAGAAAGAATAATTAAAAAACTAAGAGAGGAGAAAGACAAACAAGTTTGTTTGTTAACTCCATTAATTAGTTGAGATAAGAAAGAAATAATTGAAGAAGCGAAAAAAATCGGAACTTATGAACTTTCTTTGCTTAGTTATCAAGATTGCTGTTCTTTATTTGAACCACGCCATCCCGTGACTAGGCCAAACAAAGAGATGATAGAAAAACTGGAAGCAGAAATTTTTTGAGAAGAAACTTTAGAAAATATTTGTAAAAAGATAAATATTTAACCATTTTTAAAGGATGCAACAAACATATAGTTTAGTTTGCTAAGGAAAGAAAAAGTAAAAAGGAAGATTAATATTTTTAGTAAGCCTCCTCAATGTTCTTTTCGCTCCTCATTCCTAATTTTTAGGTCAACTTTTAAAAATTTTATTTACTTGCTTTTTCTCTTCGGGGGTGATAGTTTCTTTGCCGCTGTCTTGATAATCTGGGTCTGCTTCATCCTTAACTGGCATTAAAAAGAACTTCGAGAGCATATATTTAATAGCATAAGTTTCGCTAGATCCTTTAGCTTTGGCTAAATCGACATTACTACCGCAGGCTCAGAAATTAAAAAAAAGTTTATTTTCAGGAATTTCTGTGTCCACTATTTCTAGCTTTTTTAAGTATTTAATAAAGTGTTCTTTGCCATCTTTTTCATGAATAAAAGGTTGAGTAATATCGTCACTTAATAAGAGAATTAATTTATACTTCTCTAATAGAGGTTTGAGTAATTGTAATATTTGTAATTCATTAAAAAAGAAATATTTTTGAAATTTGTTTTCTTCGGTGCGAATGAGTTCTTTAGTTTCTGATTGAATTTTTTGTAATTTTTGATAAATGTTAATTGTAGTTGCCGGCATGTTTATTGTTTATCTATTTTTCATTGCTTTGCTGTAATTTATTTTTACTTTTCGAACGAACTCTTTTTTTGTTAGTGGGTAAAGGCTAGTGAAATTTTATTAACTAAAGCTTTCCTATCGGACGAATTCAAATAATTTATTGATTTCCCCGATGATGAAATAAAGTTAAAAGTTTTCCAACTATTCACTAATAAAGGACTGGTAAGGCTAATAATTTTCTTTTTG